AGCGCTGGGGGCCCCCCCCTGCCGGTGTCTCTCTGACTCTTCAGTTGGCCCCCTCCTCCCCTCAGCACCCGCGCGCCGCGCAGCACTCGGCTCTGGCGCGGCAAGCTTGCCATGTCTCACTCATTCTTTCTCATTCTGTCTTCCCCACCCGTGCCCTCAGGCAGCGCAGTGCTTCCCGACCAGCACCGAGCAGCGGCCCGGCACCAGCAGTACGATTATGAACATCTTTGATTCGCAGTGCATCTACATCGTCATCGTCATCGTCGTTGTCTTTGCCTTCATTGCCATCGCCGTCTACTTCGTCCATCCTTCTCGCCCCCTTCCTCACCTTGTTCGGGGAATCCGGGGGCCCCGTGTGCGAGTCCGTTTTGCTCACGGGACTCGGCCAGGGCAGTGGCGCGACGGGCCGTGAGCCCACTGTGCACAGTGAGCTGTCGGGGGGGCCTGCTGCTGCCTGCTGCTGCCCGTTCCCTCCTGCCCCTCCCTCGTGCCCTCTTCCTCCCCCCCCTGTTCCTGCCCCCCCCTCCCTCGCCTTCCCCTCTCCCTCCTCCGGGACGGGGGGCGAGAGGTCTCTCCGAAGCGGCGGGTTCGGCACCCGCGCTTGGCTCCTTTGAACGTTCGCGACCCTTCATCTTCGATGGCTGCTCGTTCTGGCGTCGCTGGCCAGGGAAGTGCGGATCCAGCGGAAGCGAAATGCATCCCCCAGACCTGTCGATCCCAAGATTCACCTTCGATGGCCAGTTGCGCCGGGCCTCGGGGAGTTCGTTCCGGGAGCCTGTCATCGTGCATGCGGCCAGCGATGCACGGAAGATTTGTGAACCAGAGTTTGGTCTTTGCCGACTCGGGCGGGCATGTCTGGGAGCGCGGATCCAGCGGATTGCCCTCCCTGGAGATCTCGATCCCAAGTTTCATCTTCGATGGACAGTCGTGCTGGGCATCGGGGAGTTCGTTCCAAGTGTCTGTCATCGTGCATGCGGCCAGCGATGCACGGAAAATGTGTGCACCAGGGTTCGGTCTTTGCCGACTCGGGCGGTGTTGTCTGGGAGTGCGGATCCAGCGGTTGCCCTTCCTTGAGATCTCGATCCCAAGTTTCATCTTCGATGGGCTGTCGTGCAGGGCCTCGCGGAGCTCGTTCCAGGTGTCTGTCACCGCGCATGCGGCCGGCAATGCACGGAAGATTTGTGAACCACGGTTCGGTCTTTGCCGACTCTCGGGCGGACACGGTTTCTGGGAGTCTCGGGCGGACACGTTTTCTGGGAGTGCGGATCCAGCGGTATGAATTTCCCGGAGCTTTCGATCCCTAAATGGATCTTCCCATGTTGCCGGCGGCCTGGCGCGCGGGCCTCGGTTACTTATCGTTCGGTTCGCTGCAATCCTGGCTCCAGGATTGCAGGATCTGCCGGTAGATCCTGGGAGAGGCCATGCGCCCGGCGGCTCCCGCCGATTTCCAGCAGCGCGCAGCTGCGGCGTCGGCGGCGCTCCGTCTCGCGAGACGGCCGAGGGTTGCAAGCCTTCGAACTCCGCCACTTGCTTCCCAGTCGGCGGGCAGCTGGTGCGCGCCAGTCCCCCCTCTGGAGTTTAGCCCCGTCCAGGGCCAGCCGTTCGCGGTGTCCTGGGGGTGTTTGCATCTTGGCGTTCGTTCTGCGTTCGCTGCTGCGGAGTGGAACTCTTTGGAAGAGATCCGGGGTGCTGACCCCGGCGAGTTCGAGCGACGTATTGTTGCATCTCCATCGTTGGTCAAGTTGAAACCCCCGCGCAGGGACCAACGCGCTCTCGCTCGGAGCCCGTCGTGGGCACCGAACTGCCGGCAGCAGCCGGCCCGCGAGGAATCCTGCGGCGCATCCTCCCACGAGCCCGGCGGACAGGCAGCCCGCCGCCAGCGCCGCGCCGGTGAGCACGGCGTGCGTCGCCGACGGCACCGGCGGGCAGTTGCAGTTCCCGCAGGCGAGAGCAGGGCAGCCTGGGATCTCTGGGCAGACCAACTCTGGACAGGGAGGAGAAGCGGGGCAGACCGCAGCGAGTTGGACGGTGTAATAGTGGAGCCCAACGACAATCGAATCCCTCAGCCCCTCGTATGCGTCTGGCGAGATGAGAACTTGAGCCGACACAAGTGCGGCCCCTCCATGCTGCTACACATGCTTTCCTATGTAAAATGATCCATATCAAAATGAAGGAGCCGAACGGTCATTCATTGTCCTTGGGTGCGTGGCTGGAGTGGGGATCCGTGGTGAGGATTCTGCTTGTTGCGTTGTTGTTGGTTGTTTGTTTGTTTGTTTGCTTGTTTGTTTGTGGTCGTCGTCCCACCCGCGACCCACCCCGCGACCCACCCCGCGAACCACCCCGCGACGCACCCCGCGACCCACCCAGCGACCCACCCCGCGACCCACCAACGACCCACCCCGCGACCCACCCGCGACCAACCCCGCGACCCACCCGCGACACACCCGCGACACACCCCGCGACCCACCCACCCCCACCCCGCGACCTACCCGCGAACCACCCGCGACCAACCCCGCGACCCACCCGCGACCCACCCGCGACCCACCCGCGACCCACCCCGCGGCCCACCCGCAACCCACCCCGCGACCCATTTGCGACCCACCCCGCGACCCACCCGCGACCGACCCACGTTGGTCTAACGAAAAAATTGGCGCCTGCGGCGGGCTCGTTGTATAATGTGTGAAACTGGCGCCTGCGGCGGGCTTTTCCAGAGTCTCGCAAACTGCCGACGTCCCCACCGCCGCCGCACTATTGTCCGCATCTGCGGGGTGCTATATCTATATAATATACATATAGATAGAGAAAGAGAGAGAGAGAGAGAGAAAGAGAGAAACAAATGCACTGGAGCTTGCATCTCGTCGGCCGAGACGTCGATGCCAGTGGCTTCGATCGCCTCGACATCGACGTCAGGATTCCTCGTTAGGTCTGTCCCATACGCATGGATTGTCGGCTGAAGTACTGCATGAGAGCCTTCACCAGACGAGGCTGGTCGCCATGTCAGAGGATATGGTTTTTGAACGACTTGGCTGCGTCTCCCCTCCTCAGGTCGGGTGGGGCAGGCTCCTTTTTCCTTGCGCCGCCCTCGCAATCGTCTTGCACGAATCTGACTCTGACGGCAAGGGTGGACCTGGGATATCCTCTGGTGTCCAAATGTGTCACCCCTCGGGGTGGGGAAACTCCAAAAAAAAGTTATTTGATTCCGTGTCGTCATGCTATTGCTTCCGTGTCTGGACGTTGCGACTGTCATTTCGTTCTCCATGACGCTCATTCTCACGATCGGATTCTGTCATACTTTCGGCTGGGAACTAATGATTTGCTAGATAACCCTTAGTTTCTGACATTCGAACATTGTCCAAATTCCGATATCATGGCTCGGGGGGTCCCTTCTCAAGGATATTGTTGACGGGTGTGCCCTTCAAGAAGTCTTGCGGCATGGGTACAGTGTTCCGTTAGGTGAACGCAATGGTGGGTTATGATACGCGCGCGCTGCGAGAGAGGCGTGCGTACCTTTTGCCAGGACGCTGTTCGCGTCCCAGTCCTCCCGAAAGATACATGGGCCAATCGCGCGGAAACGCACGCGTGGGCTCGCGACAGAAACGAATCAGGGAGCTGATGAGGGCTAGTCAGTGTTGGCGGCGCGGAAAGGAGGGGGGAAGAGGAAGGGCTGGGAAGGCAGGGGGTTGCTGTGTAGGACCTGTTAAGATGGCTCCTCTGAAGGAGGGAGGGCACGCCCCTGCATCTTCAGCAGGGCACCACCCTTCGGTAGGGGGGGAGGGGGGCACAACTGGGGCACGAGGTCAGTCGGGGCTCAGCGGGGCTGGTGGCAAATCCAGAGATCCAGCACATTTAGAAAATCAAGACAAAGGTTGTCTGCTACGTTCGGCCTCTATAGGGCATCGCCGAGCCCTGGGACCGTCCAAGGACGACCCAGGATGAAAAATCGGTCCCGGGGAGTGGGTCGAGACCTCTGGGGGCCAGGTATTGACAAGATCGAGACATCGGATCTCTGGGGACGGAACCCCAGGAGGGGTGCAGCTCGGAACGCGGGGCTGGGCGGGGCTGGTCAGGGCCGCGCGGGGCGGCAACGAGCTCCTCGAGGCAGCGCGCCAGCACAGAGCCTGGCTGGAGGGCGGCAGCGAGATCCAGGGGAGCCGCAGACCTCCGACGTCGTGGTCTGTTTTCCGCGGCGTCCGCCCCCAGCACTCCCGTCCCCGTCGCGGGATCGTTTCCAGATGGCCCGGGGGACGCGAGGCGGGCCTCCAGAGGCCCAGGGCTGACAGACCGACCGCCGTGCTCGGCTGGGTGCTGCCAGAGGTGTCCGTGGCCCAGGGTGCAATGTCTTGAAACCGTGCCTCTGGGCGCTGGGCGCCCTGAAATTCGCGCGGCCAGGGAAGAAGAAATGCCGCCCCACCCTCGGGAGCTCGCGTTGCCTGCGAATGGAAGACTTTGCAGTGGCACGGAGAGCTGCCAATGAACACCTCCAGCTGCTCCCCAACACCGCGTGCTTCTTGAATGAGAATGAGCGCCCGGCTGGCCTCCAGGAGCACCCACCCCTCACGAGGCCCAGCGGGCCCCACTGGGGCCCTCAAGTGGCGGGACGCCTCCGGCCAGGACCACTTCCAGCAACACCCAGCCGACGCCATGACGTGTTCACAACGTCCAACGTCCAACGTCCAACGTCCACCCCTGGAGGTCTCGACCCACTTCCCTTGACGAACAAACGACACACACCCATACCCATAAGGGGGAACGTTTGGAGGAGAACTGGCTATGGGTATGGGTGCGGGTTGTCGGATCCTGGGGGGCGCTTCCTTTCGAGCGGGGACCCCCATCCAACAACACGCACCCATGGCCCGCTCCGTCCCACCTATGGGTATGCGTGCGTAGCATTCCTTCGTCATCCCTGGACTGGGCTTTTCAGTCTGAGCCGGGGGGTCCCGAGCGTGCGCGCCCCGCGCTCGGTGAAGGCCGAGCGCCTCCGCGGAGCCGGCGGGGCCGGCGGGTCCTTGGGCTTGAAGAGCACGGCCAGCAGGGAGGAGCCCTCGGCGCCGAGGTCGGCGAGCTGCGCGCAGGGCTCGTCCTCGGCGGGCGTCGGCGGGCCGACCCTGCGATCCGGCGGCGCGAGAGCAGAGGAAGCGCCGCACGAAATCGGCCACTCGGACGGCGCCGCGTGAGGAGGCACACGCGTGGTCCACGGTGCGGCGGCGGCAGCGATGGTCTCCCCGAGCTCCCTGGAGGTATCCAGAAGTCCTCGGAGGTCTCCAGCGGTCCTCGTGGGCCTCCAGAGGTCACCCTCCCCCCCCCCCCCGCACGCCCCAGGAAGGACCGAGACGCCCAAGCGTCTCGATCCTCGATCGCTCCCCCGCGTCTGCGCCACTTCTCGAGCCGGATCGATGTGTGAGGGCCCCGGGCCCGAAGACCGGCGAAGACGCCCAGCTCGAGCAATGGATCGGGGCAACCTCCTGGACAACGTCCTGGAGGGATCTGGCGAGAGGGTTCGACCCGATTCTGGCTGGAAGACGTGTTTTCCGATGCGCTTTCGAATCAAGCGGTGGTAGGCTATCTGCGTGAGACCTGGACCCTGCTCCTGGCATTGACGATCAAGTGCCGCATGCATCCGCTCAGCGCCGAGGACGTCCTCACGCAGTGCACCACTCGGGTAGAGCGGCACGGGAACCACGAATTACTTTGCGGCGGTCGAGTGCTTCTGCCTCGACGGCCCCGAAGACGGCCCAAGGCCTGTGGTCGTCAGGGGAGGCCCGGCCGCTCCTGCCAGCGGTCGCCCGGTAGGCGCGCCTCGCGCCGCGCGGGATCGCGAGGCGCGGCGATCTTCGAGAGGTGTTCCGCCACGTTCGGCCCCTAGAGGCCCTCGCCGAGAGCCGGGAGCGTCCAAAAACGACGCAGGACGAAAAGCCGGTGCCTGGGCAGTGGGTCGAGACTTCTGGGGGCCCCAAGCTGAAAAATCAAGCCAGCGGATGCTTGGGGCCAGAGAGAGAGAGAGAGAGAGAGGAACCGCCCCAAACGGCCCCTGGAGGAATGCACTGTGAGCATCCAGCTGGGCTCGCTCGCGAACGAGTACATTTCTTTCCGAGGCCATAACGGGCCTTATGGGGGGGAGGGGGGGGGGACGGGAGAGGGCATAACGTAGCGCCCCCCTCCCCACACTGTGGTGCCGGACGCACTTCGGCAATGCCGGGGACGCACTGAGGGGGGAGCGTTACGTTATGGGGGGGAGGGGGAGGAGGGCAGGGGGCGTAACATGCGTTGTGGCCCAGAGGGTTTAAGAACACTCTCAACCTCACCCCCCGATCCCAGATGAGAAGGGCAGCTCAGAGGTCCAGGCGGCGGGGCGCGCAGCGCGGGTCGCCTCCGCGCCCGCGAGGGTGACCCGGCACGCGGCGCGATCGCCAGGTCTCCGGCTCGGACCGTCGCCTATGCTTGGCCTCGGCCTCCACCCTTAGAGAACAACCCACTGAAGCTTTTTGTCGTCCCCTATGGCGCCCAATAGCGCGCCCAATCCCGCGTAAAGTGGACATAGTGCATCTCCCCCATCGCGCTGTTGGGCGCTATTGGGCGCTATTGGTCGCTGTTGGTCCCTACTGAGCGCGATTTGAGCGCTATGTGGCGCCATTCGGCACTATTCGGCGCTAGTCCGCGCTATTGAGCGCTCTCGGCGCCATGCGATAATTTACTATCCAACCACCTGTACAGGGGCAGCTCTGGGGCAGCCGATCCGAGAAACCCGCGCGGACCTCCTCGGTTTCATGTTTATGTCATTGTTCGTTCCCCTAGTTTTAAATCGGGCGTGTCCCCCTACAGGGGGATTTCTGTCGGAAACTAAAAAAGAATCGAAAAATATTCGAAAATGCTCAAAAATCGCTTTTCTGCCCTCCAAAAAATCGTCCCCTGAGTATGTTTTTACTACTTTCGAAGATCCCCCCTGTAGAGGGACAGGCCCGACTCAACCCTAGTTTCCACGCCGCGAGCACCCCCAGAGGGGGGCCCGACGAGTGCAGACGCGCAGAGACGCCCTCGATCCCGGCGGCTTCGCGGGCGGCCCCCCCTGGCGAGGAACGGCGCGGCGACGCCGCCCGGCGCAGCGGGGGCGCCTGCGCGGCGGGCTCCTGGGGCTCGGCGAACCAGCTCGCCTCCGGGTAGAAGAAACGGTGCGTCGTCCTCGAGCCTGCAGCACGCGCCCCAGCCTCGGTTCCCTCGTCCACCGCCCCGCCCTTCCCACTCCTCCTCTTCCTCCTCCTCCTCCTCCTCCTCCTCCT